TTAGGTTTATAACATGGTATAAAATAGAACTAACATAAATTAGATATAACGTGGTATAAATTAGACATAACGTGTAATAAAATAGAACTAACAAGCCATCACACGCTACAGAATAGAAGAACACTATGCAGATTAGAAATAACATGCTACAGAATAGAACTAACACTGTGCAGATTAGAACTAACACTCTACAGAATAGAACTAACACTGTGCAGATTAGAACTAACACTCTACAGAATAGAACTGACACTGTGCAGATTAGAACTAACACGCTACAGAATAGAACTGACACTGTGCAGATTAGAACTAAAACGCTACAGAATAGAACTGATACTGTGCAGATTAGAACTAACACGCTACAGAATAGAACTAACTTGGTATAAATTAGAATAAATTTTGTTTAAATTAGAACTAACTTTGTATAAATTAGATCTAACGTTGTATAAAATAGAACTAACTTGGTATAAATTAGAACTAATCTGGTATAAATGAGATATAACGTGGTATAAATTAGGTTTATAACGTTATAAAAAATAGAACTAACTTGGTATAAATTAGATCTAACGTGGTATAAATGAGATATAAACTAACATTATATAAATTAGAACTAACTTGGTATAAATTAGAACTAATGTGGTGCAGATTAGAACTAACACGCTACAGAATAGAACTAACTTGGTATAAATTAGAACTAACTTGGTATAAAAATAGAGCAAACTTTGTTTAAATTAGAACTAACTTTGTATAAATTAGATCAAACGTTGTATAAAATAGAAATAACTTGGTATAAATTAGAACTAACTTGGTATAAATGAGATATAACATGGTATAAATTAGGTTTATAACATGGTATAAAATAGAACTAACATAAATTAGATATAACGTGATATAAATTAGACATAACGTGTAATAAAATAGAACTAACAAGCCATCACACGCTACAGAATAGAAGAACACTGTGCAGATTAGAACTAACACGCTACAGAATAGAACTGACACTGTGCAGATTAGAACTAACACTCTACAGAATAGAACTGATACTGTGCAGATTAGAACTAACACTCTACAGAATAGAACTAACACTGTGCAGATTAGAACTAACACGCTACAGAATAGAATTGACACTGTGCAGATTAGAACTAACACGCTACAGAATAGAACTAACTTGGTATAAATTAGAACTAACTTGGTATAAAAATAGAGCAAACTTTGTTTAAATTAGAACTAACTTTGTTAGATCTAACGTTGTATAAAATAGAAATAACTTGGTATAAATTAGAACTAACTTGGTATAAATGAGATATAACGTGGTATAAATTAGGTTTATAACATGGTATAAAATAGAACTAACATAAATTAGATATAACGTGGTATAAATTAGACATAACGTGTAATAAAATAGAACTAACAAGCCATCATACGCTACAGAATAGAAGAACACTGTGCATATTAGAAATAACACGCTAAAGAATAGAACTAACACTGTGCAGATTAAAACTAACACGCTACAGAATAGAACTGACACTGTGCAGATTAGAACTAACACTCTACAGAATAGAACTGACACTATGCAGATTAGAACTAACACGCTACAGAATAGAACTAACTTGGTATAAATTAGATCTAACTTGGTATAAAAATAGAACAAACTTTGTTTAAATTAGAACTAACTTTGTATAAATTAGATCTAACGTTGTATAAAATAGAAATAACTTGGTATAAATTAGAACTAACTTGGTATAAATGAGATATAACGTGGTATAAATTAGGTTTATAACATGGTATAAAATAGAACTAACATAAATTAGATATAACGTGGTATAAATTAGACATAACGTGTAATAAAATAGAACTAACAAGCCATCACACGCTACAGAATAGAAGAACACGGTGCAGATTAGAAATAACACACTACAGAATAGAACTAACACTGTGCAGATTAGAACTAACGCTCTACAGAATAGAACTGACACTGTGCAGATTAGAACTAACACTCTACAGAATAGAACTGACGCTATGCAGATTAGAACTAACACTCTACAGAATAGAACTGACACTGTGCAGATTAGAACTAACACTCTACAGAATAGAACTGACACTGTGCAGATTAGAACTAACACTGTGCAGATTGGAACTAACACTCTACAGAATAGAACTAACACTGTGCAGATTAGAACTAACACCATATATATTAGAACTAACATGTTATAATATATAACTAAAAGGGTGCATATTAGAACTAACACAATATTAGTTATACTAATATATAAGAACTAACACGACTTCTCTGTATGTGGGTTAAGATTTGTAACAAACTGTTTTCTGGATAAGCAATATTTAATAAGAACTAACAAGCAATGATGCCAGGTCTTCATTTGTTTCTGCCCTCGCTGGATCGGTTTTGGTCTAATAAACCCTTTTTGCTGTCACTCGCCTTCCTTTTCGAAGGTCCTGGCTTACTGCGCTTTGAGAAAGGAGAACTGGATTCTGCTGAGCCACTGTGGGAGACGACGGGGTGTAAAAGGAGAGGAACATTGCCAGTAGGGAGAGACCTCGGAGAATTGGCACCCCGACCCCTTGGTTACGGAGAAACAGCTGCCATTGGTCTCTCTCGACCGTCATGTGTTTGCCACCCCAACTAACCTCAATTAACTCGGGGTCGGTCCTAAAGGGCTGCGCACGCTGGGGCCCTAAGTTGAGTTGTGTGGATCCCTGAGCCCTCTCCAAATTCCCCCCGCATTGGACCTGCGTGATGGCATATCCTTCCCTGGCGTTACCGTCCACCGGCGAGATGTAGCGGAACCCAAGCCTCTTAGGGATTTCAGATAAATCCCTAACCTTGAGTAGAACTCTACAGTCTTTGAAGTTAGAATGTGTTATGACGTCCCTGGAGCACATGACACATTCACCGATACTAATGAGCAGAGATTGTGAAGTTAGAATGTGTTATGACGTCCCTGGAGCACATGACACATTCACCGATACTAATGAGCAGAGATTAAAGAAATTCAAAATCCCAGAGGTGGTATGGAAGATTGAATAGTCGAATCCATACTAGAAAGGGTTGAGGCAACGTTGTTAGCCTCAGATCCTCTTTCCAACGGCGGAATCTGCCCTTAAATGTGCCCATATCTATCAAACCGAGTTCAATAGCTTGGGTAAGAACTTCATCGGATGGAAACTGTACCATGAAGCTGTGCCCTGCCGCCTCCTTGATTTGATGGGGCCATGTCCTAAGATTGAAGAGGTAGGCCAGCATCTCTCGGAGCTCCTGCACAGATGGACGGCCTCTATCAAGATTGAAGATGGCGTAAGAAGAAAGATGCCGTATGGTGCTGGAGGTGTTGACCGGGACGGTAAGCATCATCGGAGGGGCACGAGCGGTAATTCCATGATGACAATCTCGAGAGCTATGTCCTGTCCTATGGCAGTGTACACAAAAAGGATCCCCAGCCATTTGTGAGGGTATACGATGAAAATAGATGACGCTGTGTTGCGGTTTTTAGCAGGGGGAGGGGTTTGTAGAGGCGTCTACGCTGGGGCCAGTAGAAGAAAGGTGGTGACCGTACTATCGATGGAAGTTCATATTAGGTATTTAAGTTAATTAATTTATTTAACTGACTTGGGAACACGCGAATATATGATGTGATATGTTAGTGTGATGGAACCGTCGCTTAGAAAGAAGTGAATAGCTGGAGGTCTGAAGATAACTTAAATAATTAAAAAATTAGAACTGGCTATGAGATAGAACTAACGAGCATGGTACAGAATAGAACTAACGTTGTATGAGTTAGAACTAACGAGCATCACTAGAACTAACATGGTACAGATAGAACAATACATCTGATAACAATCATTTTCAATTACTTAAATATACATACATTATTGTATTTGTATGGACATATCATTCATCACTGTACACTGTTTCTTCTTTATGTCTTTGTTCAAAACCAGCCTGTAATAATTGTACGACAAGTCTTGCTCGCATAGCTTCAGGGATATCGTTCGGAGGATTAACCAGCAATGTTGATCGTCCTTCAATTATGGCTTTTATATAGAGGTAGACGAGCACACCACAATCAAAGCTGCAACATAGAGTGAGTTCATTAGACATTTTCGGTCCGTTCTAATACTATAACACAAATTAACACAATATAGACATCAGAACTAACCGTCCTCTTTGTTTCTCGCATTTGATGGCTTGATATCTAAATATTTTGCGCACATTTTGCTCAATAAATTCAGCATGATGGGCATCAAAGAAGTTTATGATTTTATTAACAGGCTCCATCCAAGCTTCGTGCCCAGCGGAACTGTAATGCTTGACAACTTTATCTTTAAAATCAACTTCTACAAGATGCTAATGATCATGCCTGACCAAAGGGATCAAGAGATGTTCCATACGGAATGCGGTATATTTTTCAATATATGACAAAAATAGCTCGTAATTGTTTGTCTCAAAGCCATAGAGTGAGTGCTGCAAACACATCATGTTTGAGTTGAAATTAAAACAAACATGAGCTGCGAAGGTTAACTAACACCGTATTAATTAGAAATAACACGATACAGAATAGAACTAACACTGTGTAGATTAGAACTAACACGCTACAGAATAGAACTAACACTGTGCAGATTAGAACTAACACCCTACAGAATAGAACTAACACTGTGCAGATTAGAACTAACACTCTACAGAATAGAACTAACACTGTACAAATTAGAACTAACATGCTACAGAATAGAACTAACACTGTGCAGATTAGAACTAACATTGTGCAGTTAGAACTAACACGGCGTAATATATAAGAACTAACATGAACTGCGACAGAACTAACATGACTTATGGTAGGTCTAAATTGATGCTAACTAGAACTAACGTGACTCATGGTATAACTAGCATGGATTACACAAGATCTAACATGAATTTCAATCAAAACTAACATGGTGAAATTAGGAATAGCATGTTCTTACAAGAAAGAACACTGATATCACTCCATATCCTTTGTCATATGCCTCCTGGCTAAGCGTTTCCAAAACTGCTTCTTCCACCTGTAATTGTTATGAAATATTAAAATTCAATTTAAACAATATAATTTGAATTATTAAGCAAGTATATGTTAACCTTGTCGTCAAGGCGGCCACCACGAAGCACATATAACAACTCTTCCCTGTTAATACTGCTGTTGGTTGTTACTATAACATTATATCTCCTGGTATAAATTAGAACTAACATGAATTAGAACTAATATGTGGAGAATTAGCGTATAAATAGTCAACTGAAACTTACCTGTGAATCTTCTGAGAACAAAATTTGGTTAGGCTCTCAATTTGAGCTTTGTCGAGTCTGTCTGCTACTGGAGATGGTATCTTTAAATTATGTACAAAAGCACCTGTGCTATCTATTATGCGTAAGTTAAACAATGTAGGGTCTGGAAACTCATTATTCAGCTCTTCCAATAGAGTTGCTTCTTCATCTGTCATTGGCTTCAAACTTAACGCATCCCAAGTGGGGATTTGATTACCGGGGTAAAAATGAGTAACTTTGTCAGCTAGTTTTACTTTTGGTTCAGGACTTTCAAGTATATCTATACATTCTTTTTCCTTTTTCTTTCTTTTGCCTTCAATATATGGGGTCCTCTTCCATTTAGATCTCCTGCTTACCCTTCTTGGCTTTGGTCTACGCTTTACTTCCACATTGCTCGTTAGAACTGAAACAAGTTTGTCCACATCATGTTTAATATTCACAAGATCCTCTTCCTCCTGTGCTTCCAACTTATCTACATTCTCCTTCTCTTTATCTACAATATCTTCCTCCTTATCTACACCATCAACATGATCCTCATCAAAACCTTTGTTATCTACAATAAAATTTTCATTTTCCATATGCCCCTCTTCCTTATCTACCATATGCTCCTCTTCCTTATCTACAATATCTTCCATATGCTCCTCTTCCTTATCTACCATATGCTCCTCTTCCTTATCTACAATATCTTCCATATGCTCCTCTTCCTTATCTACCATATGCTCATCTTCCTTATCTACAATATCTTCCATATGCTCCTCTTCCTTATCTACCATATGCTCCTCTTCCTTATCTACAATGTCTTCCATATGCTCCTCTTCCTTATCTACAATATGCTCCTCTTCCTTATCTACAATAGCTTCCATATGCTCCTCTTCCTTATCTACACTATCCTCAACCTTAGTATCTACAGTCTGGTCAACCTTACTATATACCCCCTCCCCTGGAGAAGTAACTGGCTCCTCTTCTATTGCCTCATCGTCAGCAGGATGCTTCACATCCTCTTCAACAATCTTATGTACATGTTCTTGCATGGTGGGCTCTTCCTTATATACACTGCTTGTTTTGGACTTCTGTTCCTCTTGAGCTTCCCGTCGCTTCTTCCTAATTTCATTTGCAATTTTCTATAACCTCATCATGTCTTCTATATTTTTCAATTATCCTGTTAAGCATGTTGATCTCAATCATGAATTCTTTACAATATTTGCTCTTGGTCTGCTTTGTAGCAACAAGAAGTCGCTTGAGAAATTTAGTAGAATTTCTCCAAAATGTGAGTTGCTGCTCAATGGGAGGAACATTGATCTCCTCTTCATCGTCAAAAGCAACGTTAATATGCTTTGCCATGATCTGTTATTGATACAAGATTATAATTTTAAGTAGGATTAAACATAATTAGGATATTCTTTGCAGTTAGTGTGAAATGAGTACGACTTAACATAACAGGATACTTACGTAACCTATTGAGAAGTTCTTAGTAGTTTCTTCCTGGAAAGCCTTCCTCTTTGCCTGACGCTTTTGCTGAAGAACTTCACCCCTCTGTACAGCGGGACCTTCATCCCTCTGTTCAGCGGGAAGTGAATGAACATGACCTGGAGAAGCGACCTCCGCAATAGGCCTATGGACAAATGTTATTGATGCTGACTTAGCCTTTGAAATAATTGTCGGCATCCTCATAGATGCGATTTTCTCCTCCCCTGATGCCTAATTTGTCATTGGAGGTCTGGAGGTGTCTAAGAGGGCATATTTCTTTATGCCTGTCATCTCGTAGTACGAAAGCTGTACCAAATATATTTACTATTAACATTTAATACTAGACTAGACCAAAGAGAATAAAATATGGCTGCATCTAGAACTAACATGGTGTAAATTAGTACGTGGTATGACATGAATTATGATAGAACTAACATGACCTATGATAGAACTTACATGGGTGCAGATAGAACTAACATGGTATATCTTAAAACTAACAAGGTGCAGATTAGAACTCACACAAAACAAATTAGAACTAACAAAATCTACAACAGAACTAATATGGTGTAGATTAGAACTAACATGGTATACATCATAACTAACATAGAATAAGTTAGAACTAACAATGCATAGGTACGAACTAGAATGAAACAAGATCAGTAAAATATGGAACTTACACACAATAGTGTCATGCAACCTGGGACATATGCGACCATTTGCTTCTTCTTTCCCTCCAAAGCAACTCCAATGCCCCTGATAATTTCTGAATAAAAGAACTTGGCCCATGCAACATAATTGACCCTCTGAATGCTATCCAGGTACCTGAGTAAGGGTCTAGGGATACCTTCCCCTGCTATGGGACTCCATATCATAGAGCATTGGTATAAAATTTGTAGCAGAACAAAATCCTCGATATCCCGCTTTTTGTAGATTCAACTAGCCGTTCAAGTAGCCCTTCAAGATGTTTACGTTGGGTGGTTTCTGCTTTTATTAACTTCTTACCCTCTTCAGAAATGAAAAGCTTAGCGAAGTATTCGAGCCATATTCTGCTTCTTGAGTCCCTATTATTACTTATGACCTCCCCATAAATTGGGAAATGAGTATGGTTATGGACCCATTGCAAATCAAAACTAACATTTTTCATACACCCACTTTTTGAATCAGGTATACAAAAGATGTTATTATCTCTGTCATAAAAGCTCAGCAGCAGCTCAAGGGTGGGCTGATCAGGCGCAGGAGCCCTAAATAAAATGTAGTGCTGAAATATAGAACCGCAGTATGCATCCCTATGCCACTGACGGATCTTCGGGGCAATGCGCTTCATAAATCCCCAATAAGCCCCGATATTGGCCGTTAACCTTAGTGTTTCTGCTGAGCCTGTTAGAGCAATTTTTTCCCTGCAAAAAGTTTTTGAATTTGTAAGTTCAATAAGACATATGAACTCATATTAGACCTAGGACTAACGAGAACAAAATAGAGCTAACACGTAGTGTTATAGAACTAACATCGGACTCAAACTAGAACTAACATTGGACTTAAACTAGAACTAACATTGGTCTCAAACTAGAACTAACATTTGACTCAAACTAGAACTAACATTGGACAAAGCCTAGAACTAACAATATTGGGGTAATCTGCATTGTCTCTTCACGGTATAAACCCGTATTCTTGAAGATTAAACCTAGCCATTGCCGTTGCCGAATACTGAAGATTATAACACTTACTATTTTTTTGAGGGGGGTTTGTTGGTACGACCAGCCATTGCCGTCCTCCTTTTCTGGGCTCGCCATTGTATTGCCTCCTTTTGCATTTCGATTAGGGTTTGCGTAGCTTCCGTAGCTTCCTCCGCGCTGCCACCCGCAGATGAAGCGCCTTTTCCTTCCAACTCGGCTCGGTGAGCGACCTCGTAGTCGTTACTGGATCCTTCCATAGACGACATTTTCCCGGCGAAAACCCTAGAAACGTTGAAATCCGTACAGAAATTAGGAAGATGAAGAGTTCTTGATGACGGTGCTAGGTGGAAGAGAGAGAAAGAGAGGGAGAGTACTTGTAAAGGTATGGGGCGCATTAACCCAGCTCAGTCCCATCAGAGGGCAAGATCATAACTTCCTCTAGGCTTTTTCTGAAAAAAGTCAAATCGGGGCCTCGTCGCAAATACTATGCGTATTTGGGGCTTTTCCACATGGGGCAAAGTACAAAGGGGCTAGTCACACGAAGTTCCCACTTTTGGGGCCTGGACACATTTTTCCCTAAGAAGAAACAGGTAATATGCTAACATCTTCAAAACCTTAAAGTGAAGGCCAAAATGCGTCCAAACATATGAAGCTTTTGAGAAGAATTCAATCAAACTAGATATATCGATGGAATATCATTCGCTAGAACTAGCAAGAAAACTCACAGCCAAAATTACCGCCATTCAATATCAAAATTTCAAATTTGCATGTTAATTATGTCCTTAAAAAAAGAAGAACGGAAAAATGAAAATGGGAGAAAATTTCATTGCAAGTTTCTTTTCAAATCACCATTAGCATAAAGGTGTCAATTTGGCCCAAAGCTCTAATTTTTTTTACGAAGTACAAAATCCACATTAAAAAACAATTTCAATCCCAAATATTAGTTGTGTCAAACTTCCAAATTTCTATAAAGAAACAAGAAAATTACCAATGGGTCGATTCAATGCATACGAGTGAGGCGAAGGGCTACGAATTGGAGAGGGGAAGCTCTCAGGAGCGTGAAAAAAGCCGCTGCTGCCAAGCACTGCAGGGGATTAAAAAATTACAAAATTATGCTCAAAATTCAAAATTTCTACCTGTAAAGAAGCAAGAAAGTTACCATTTGGTCAATTCGAGGGATGGGGAAGAGGCGAACAGCCTAAAATTGGAGCAGAGAAGCTCTCGGGATGATTACTCGCCTTGGAACCTGAGAAGGCGGCCATTGGATCATTGTAGTAATGGAATCTTGGAGCTTTAGGCGTTCTCTCATTGGCATCAGAGTTGATTAGAGAATTCGAAAGGACTTGAGTTGGAGAAGAAGAGGAGGATGTCAGGACTTGATGAACAACCAAGGGCCCTGTCAATTGAGCCAATTGTCAGGAAACCTGTCAAGTGAGCTGAAGCTTGGAGACTCGACGGGAGAGCTGGCGAACATGGATGGTGAAAGAAGACTGGACTGATATACAATACGTGGAGGGTTGTTATGCAAACCTTTTTAACTATAAGGACAATTGTATAAAAGTTAATAAACTGTTACAGACAATTTAATCTGTTTCTGTTTGTTGTTAAGCTCGTGCACGTTTTATGCACGTTTTGATTTTCATTGCTTTGGAGCTGATGTATAAAAGAGAAGTTGTAAAACTGAAATAATCATGAAAGAAATGAAATAGAATCTGTTCTTCTTCTCCATTTCAGTCTCTGTTCTTCTTCTCTCTAAATTTCTTCCTCTCATTCTCAATTCCTGTCTACGTTCCCTCTTAATTTTCTTAATACTCCCAGTTCTTTCTATCACCACTTCCCTTTAGTTTGTTTCAGGCTCATCATGGCCAGAAATAGCAACACCAGATTCGACAGAGGATTCAGATCCTCACAATTGGTATCAGAACAGCTCGAGTCTGAAGCTGTTGATGAAGACTCTATGGCTGATCCTGAAGAAACTGTTACTGAGAAGGCAAATCAAGAAGAGAGATTGAATTTTTTTCCATGAATTCAAGAACTCCAAGAATCCAAGCAAATCACTGGACAAGATGCCAGGCCCATCCACAGTTCTTCAGAAGGGTGCAGATCGGAATTATCAACCCAATCGAATGCTCTTTGTCACCATTCACACAACGCTCTATCCTATAACGAAGAAAGTGTTGCATCAAGTGTTTTCTCCATATGGCTTTGTAGAGAAGATCGTCATCCTTCAGAAGTCAGCTGGCTTTCAAGCTCTTATCCAATTCCAATCACAGCAAAATGCGATGGACGCAATGAATTCTCTATAAGGGCGTAACATTTATGATGGTTGTTGTCGATTAGCCATACAAAGTTCTAAGGATCTTAGCCAAGAAATCTTGGGATCGGGGCCAAGGGATGATCATCGGATCTATTCCAAGAACATTTCTGTTGCTTCCCCAGCCTCTGTTGAGAATCCTTCAAACTTTGCAAGAAACAAAGGAAGATGGCCACCTGGGTCAAAGGCAAGTGCGGAGAATACTGATGTTGATGCAATAGCTCAGCCACCTGTTTCTACATCTGCACAAAAAAAATCATTCAGGAAGCAGTGAGACCCATGATGAAGCGATCAAAGAGAATGTTACTGAGAAGCAACCTGAAGATATTGATGATGGTGATGGACCTACAAATGTTACAAGTGAGGCATAAATTTCTCAGAGCAAGAAGGTGAAAGGCAGTTCGAGTATAACATCAAAACAATCCAAATCGCAAGCACAATCTAAAAGTGGCAAGGATTCAGGCAGCAAAGATGTTTCAAGACCTAGAGGTGGACCACAAAACAGAGCTTCCAATCTTGGAAAATTATCCTTCGATGATACTTCTAATAATTCAAAGAAATCAAGAGAGGACAGGGAAATACCAAGGTTGGGAGCTAAGAATCAAGCAAGGGAAAGCCAAAATTCAAGAAACCACCATGGCCAATCTCAAGCAAGAAGAAGTCGTCTAAGAAGATGAAGTTGTATACTTTGAACGGATCGCCAAAGGCTCAGGTTTTTTTAGTGGTGCCTATTGAGGGGATTTTGAGGGCCGAGCTCAAGGAAAAAGTTGGTGGTCTTGTGGCATACGCTGATACTAGCTCAAATCCTCCTGTTGAATCACCTCAGGTTCCTGCCATAAAGAAGCCAAGTGTTATATATGAACAAATTTGGATGGCAATGGAGAATTTCAGGTTGAGGATGACTACTTGGTGAAGGTTCTAGAATCAGAACAACAAGCTGAGCTTTCAGGGGATGAATTTGCTCAAGAAGTAATGATCTTGAGAGAAGTTCAACATAGGAACGTGGTTCGCGTTATTGGTGCATGTGCAAAACCTCCAAATTTTTGCATAGTTACAGAGTACATGCCTGGAGGAAGTCTTTGTTATTGGTGCATGTGCAAAACCTCCAAATTTTTGCATAGTTACAGAGTACATGCCTGGAGGAAGTCTTTATAGTTTTCTTCACAAGCAGGATAACATGCTAGAACTTTCTCTATTGCTGAAGTTTGCACTTGATGTATGCAAAGGAATGGTCTATCTGCACCAGAACAACATAATTCATAAGGATTTGAAGACAACCAACTTGCTAATGGACAATGACAATGTTGCGAAAGTGGCAGACCTCGGTGTAGCTCGATTTCAAAATCAAGGGGGAGTCATGTCGGCAGAAACTGGAACATACAGATGGATGGCACTCGGAGCCAGAGCAAATACATTTAACACCCCTGGTGTCGTGGAGCATTGTCATTTTCTGAAAGAGGTAGAGTCTGTTAATGAAACTGTTGTTTCTGAAACTGGAAACAAAGTTGGACCCTTTAAACGTCGGTCATTTAAGAGATCCAAATTGGTCTTTTGTCTTCTGGTTTTGGATATGTCTTGCAGTTATGCACTATTGTCTGATTCAGCCATCATATCTTCTTCCATTTCCCTTCGGAAAACTCACTCCTTGCCTAGAACTTTAGCAAAGGGTGTGAAGGATATGGTAATGGTCATTCACTACTTTGACCCTATAAAGGAACTTTGGAATTTATTGGATTTGGTTAAACATTTACTTACCATTGACCTTGAGACAAGGTCCAATTTAAGTGAAGGGAATTGTCAGGACATGATGAACAACCAAGGGCCCTGTCAATTGAGCCAATTGTCAGGAAACCTGTCAAGTGAACTAAAGCTTGGAGACTCGATGGGAGAGCTGGCGAACATGGATGTTGAAAGAAGACTAGACTGATACAATACGTGAAGGGTTGTTATGCAAACCCTTTTAACTACAAGGACAATTGTATAAAAGTTAATAAACTGTTACAGACAATTTAATCTGTTTCTGTTTGTTGTTAAGCTCGTGCACGTTTTATGCACGTTTTGGTTTTCATTGCTTTGGAGCTGATGTATAAAAGAGAAGTTGTAAAACTGAAATAATCATGAAAGAAATGAAATAGAATCTGTTCTTCTTCTCCATTTCAGTCTCTATTCTTCTTCTCTCTAAATTTCTTCATCTCATTCTCAATTCCTATCTACGTTCCCTCTTAATTTTCTTAATACTCCCAATTCTTTCTATCACCACTTCCCTTTAGTTTGTTTCAGGCTCATCATGGCCAGAAATAGCAACACCAGATTCGACAGAGGATTCAGATCCTCACAATTGGTATCAGAGCAGCTCGAGTCTGAAGCTGTTGATGAAGACTCTATGGCTAATCCTGAAGAAACTATTACTGAGAAGGCAAATCAAGAAGAGAGATTGAATTTTTTCCATGAATTCAAGAACTCCAAGAATCCAAGCAAATCACTGGACAAGATGCCAGGCCCATCCACAGTTCTTCAGAAGGGTGCAGATCAGAATTATCAACCCAATCGAATGCTCTCTGTCACCATTCACACAATGCTCTATCCTATAACGGAGGAAGTCTTGCATCAAGTGTTTTCTCCATATGGGTTTGTAGAGAAGATCGTCATCCTTCAGAAGTCAGCTGGCTTTCAAGCTTTTATCTAATTCCAATCACAGCAAAATGCGATGGACGCAATAAATTCTCTACAAGGGCGTAACATTTATGATGGTTGTTGTCGATTAGCCATACAAATTTCTAAGGATCTTGGCCAAGAAATCTTGGGATCGGGGCCAAGGGATGATCGTCGGATATATTCCAAGAACATTTCTGTTGCTTCCCCAGCCTCTGTTGAGAATCCTTCAAACTTTGCAAGAAACAAAGGAAGACGACCACCTGGGTCAAAGGCAAGTGCGGAGAATACTGATGTTGATGCAATAGCTCAGCCACCTGTTTCTACATCTGCACAAAAAAATCATTCAGGAAGCAGTGAGACCCATGATGAAGCGATCAAAGAGAATGTTACTGAGAAGCAACCTAAAGATGTTGATGATGGTGATGGACCTACAAATGTGACAAGTGAGGCAGAAATTTCTCAGAGCAAGAAGGTGAAAGGCAGTTCGAGTATAACATCAAAACAATCCAAATCGCAAGCACAATCTAAAAGTGGCAAGGATTCAGGCAGCAAAGATGTTTCAAGACCTAGAGGTGGACCACGAAACAGAGCTTCCAATCTTGGAAAATTATCCTTCGATGATACTTCTAATAATTCAAAGAAATCAAGAGAGGACAGGGAAATACCAAGGTTGGGAGCTAAAGAATCAAGCAAGGGAAAGCCAAAATTCAAGAAACCACCATGGCCAATCTCAAGCAAGAAGAAGAAGTCTAAGAAGATGAAGTTGTATACTTTGAACGGATCGCCGGAGGCTCAGGTTTTTTTAGCGGTGCCTCTTGAGGGGATTTTAAGGGCCGAGCTCAAGGAAAAAGTTGGTGGTCTTGTAGCATACGCTGATGCTAGCTCAAATCCTCCTGTTGAATCACCTCAGGTTCCTGCCATAAAGAAGCCAAGTGTTATATGTGGAACAAATTTGGATGGCAATGGAGAATTTCAGGTTGAGGATGACTACTTGGTGAAGGTTCTGGAATCAGAACAACAAGCTGAGCTTTCAGGGGATGAATTTGCTCAAGAAGTAATGATCTTGAGAGAAGTTCAACATAGGAACGTGGTTCGAGTTATTGGTGCATGTGCAAAACCTCCAAATTTTTGCATAGTTACAGAGTACATGCCTGGAGGAAGTCTTTATAGTTTTCTTCACAAGCAGGATAACATGCTGGAACTTTCTCTATTGCTGAAGTTTGCACTTGATGTATGAAAAGGAATGGTCTATCTGCACCAGAACAACATAATTCGTAGGGATTTGAAGACAGCCAACTTGCTAATGGACAATGACAATGTTGCAAAAGTGGCAGACCTCGGTGTATCTCGATTTCAAAATCAAGGGGGAGTCATGTCGGCAGAAACTGGAACATACAGATGGATGGCACTCGGAGCCAGAGCAAATACATTTAACACCCCTGGTGTCGTGGAGCATTGTCATTTTCTGAAAGAGGTAGAGTCTGTTAATGAAACTGTTGTTTCTGAAACTGGAAACAAAGTTGGACCCTTTAAACGTCGGTCATTTAAGAGATCCAAATTGGTCTTTTGTCTTCTGGTTTTGGATATGTCTTACAGTTATGCACTATTGTCTGATTCGGCCATCATATCTTCTTCCATTTCCCTTCGGAAAACTCACTCCTTGCCTGGAACTTTAGCAAAGGATATGAAGGATATGGTAATGGTCATTCACTACTTTGACCCTATAAAGGAACTTGGGAATTTATTGGATTTGGTTAAACATTTACTTACCATTGACCTTGAGACAATGTCCAATTTAAGGGAAGGGAATTGTCAGGACATGATGAACAACCAAGGGCCCTGTCAATTGAGCCAATTGTCAGGAAACCTGTCAAGTGAGCTGAAGCTTGGAGACTCGACGGGAGAGCTGGTGAACATGGATGTTGAAAGAAGACTGGACTGATATACAATACGTGGAGGGTTGTTATGCAAACCTTTTTAACTACAAGGACAATTGTATAAAAGTCAATAAACTCTTACAGACAGTTTAATCTGTTTCTGTTTGTTGTTAAGCTCGTGCACGTTTTATGCACGTTTTGATTTTCATTGCTTTGGAGCTGATGTATAAAAGAGAAGTTGTAAAACTAAAATAATCATGAAAGAAATGAAATAGAATCTGTTCTTCTTCTCCATTTCAGTCTCTGTTCTTCTTCTCTCTAAATTTCTTCTTCTTATTCTCAATTCCTGTCTACGTTCCCTCTTTAATTTCTTAATTCTCCTAGTTCTTTCTATCACCACTTCCCTTTAGTTTGTTTCAGGCTCATCATGGCCAGAAATAGCAACACCAGATTCGACAGAGGATTCAGATCCTCACAGAGGAGGATGAGAGAGGTTGTGATTGGTTTGAGGCTGGCACGGGCAAACGCAGACTGGCTGAGGGCTGGGCACGGTGCGGGTGGGGGCGCGGAGGATCTGGCGGTGGATCAATTTCATGGCTGGTAAGCGGCTAGCAGACGGCTGGCGGTGGGGGGCGCGGTTGGGCAGGGGGCATAGCGCGTGGCGGTAGTTTGGAAGGAGAGAGAAGACATGAGAAGGAGAGAGAGAGAGAGAGAAGAGAGACGAGAGGGAGGCCAAGTACGGTGCAGGAGACAGGTAGCCCGTAGCAGGCAAGTCGCGGCGGGAATAGGCGCGGCGGGCAAGCGCTGCGGCGGTTTGGAGAATTGACGGAGGGAGAGAGATATGAGATGAGAGCAGGCTGGAGAGTGAGAAGCAACGCTGTGTTTGTGTTGGGATAATGTTTGGATATTTTAAATTTAGCCCCTCAAAATTTTAATATTATTAAATTAGTACCCTAAATCATAGAAATTGTTATTGCATCCCTCAAATCTAACTATTATTATCTATAATTCTTTTACATCCTTGAGTTCAGAATCAATAATTGAAATATTTCAATATTAGTCCCTCAAATCTTTAATATTTTCAAATTACTCCCTCACATCTTCAATATTTCCAAATTACTCACTCAAATCATGAATATTTCTATTACGTCCCTCAAATCATCACAATATTTACAATTAGGTCACCTGGTTAACACCGATTAAATTTAAAGAAATATTCCTTTAAATCTAACTATTATTACTAGTTTCTCTTAACTTTTAATTATAAAAATCCAACCCATTTCGACCTAGTTGACCCATTAAAATGTGGAAACCCGAATCCATTAATTTTTTTCTCCAATATATATCATATTCCTATTTTATTAAAAAGGGCTATGATAAATTATGGTATATTTATTCTGCTAAAGAATTTAATTTTCAAGTATTATTAAAATTTATAAATAAAAATTATTCCTTTATACTATATATATGATGTAATGGTCCCAAAGACCATGACAGCCATGTTGGCTAAGTGGTAGGCGTCGGTTACGCCCATAATCGCATCCGTTATGCCCACGTTCCCATGACTTCAGCACGTCAGTTACGTGCTAAAATCCTATAAATAGCCTCGAGCAGCTATTAGGGAGGAGGGACTTTAGGGGAATTTTCGGAGATCAAACTACTCGCACAAAGAGTATTCAGAGATCTACAACAGCAATCTAAACTCTTCAGTAATTTTGTTCTGATCGTCAACGGGAAACAATCTCGGCACAAGCATCGAGGGAAGCGTCCTTTCACCACCAAGAACCCACATTAAATTAAAGAGAAGTCGAATCAAAACTTCTCTTCCTCTGTAATTGAGAGAGAGCGATTATAATAGATTCGTACCGAGCGATCGAATCTTAATTCTTCAAATTAAAGAAATCAATCAAACTTTTTCAACTCTACATCAAGTAAGTGGTTAAAAACACGACATCATATATGTAAAATACAAATAATAACTTGTGATCAATTTTAAATGAATATTTAATAGACAAACGAATCGAATATACATCTGGTCAAATTCTAATCGTTAGCAAACTCGAATACTAAAAAATAAAATTTAAAAATAAAAAATAAAATTTTAAACTAACATAGAATCTGCTAGCATAAAGAATAGTGGAGCTCATCGAATCTGCTAGCATAAAGAGTAAAAAATAAAATTTAAAACTAACATAGAACTCCTAATTAATTGAAAAGAGCTAGAATAAGTTTTGGTATATCATTAGGAAAATCAATATGGTTACATGTTCGTAATGCGTATAACTAAAAATGATATCCTCATTGGTCTTTTACCATTTTCTCATTATTTTCACTTTTCTCATCATTTTCTCTAAACTAATCAAAGATGAAGCCAACAAGTCACAAATATGACATCATATATGCAATAATACAAATAATAACATGTGATAAATTATCGAACTATTTGTTAATTATTTGGTTCATTTACATCCCTAGATGTGTTAGCAATTTACATAATTTATTGGACTACTTTTAAAATATTATAGATTTGAGGGACTTATATTAAAATAACTCTTAATTTTTTGTGGGGGCCACTCATTAACAATTGAATAATCAATCACTAATGTTAAATTTTTTATGATGGGCACATTAGTATTGGTAACAAATTTGTTCCGTCACCAATACTTATTGGCGACGGAACGCGTCTGTCTCCAATAAGTATTAGCGACGGATCGAATCCGTCGCTAATAAGTATTGGCGATGAAACGCATCCGTCGCCAATAAGTATTAGCGACGAATCGAATTTGTTGCCAATGTTTTCCTGTAGCCCATAACCATGGGTGACGAGAAACATTAGCGACGGATTCGATCCGTCGCCAATAAGTATTGGTGACGGATCTGATCCGTCTCCAATACGCATTGGTGACGGATTCGATCCGTCACCAATGTTTTTCCGTTGCCTATGGTTATGAGCGATGCAAAATCATTGGCGAGTGATCAAATCCATCGCCAATGCAAACATTGGCGACAGAGTATTGGTGACGGGGTTGTTTCCGTCGCCAATGTTTGAATTGGCAACAGATTTCAAATCCGTCGCCAATGCCCCGTCGCCAATGCCCAATTTTTACTAGTGCATATTTATTACTAATCACGTTGTTTATAGGCTTTTTTACAAGTTTGATAAGAATTTTTTTGCTAATTCAGGTACGTATTTTATAAAATTATGACTAATCAGGTTATTACAGGTTTTGTTTGTTTTTTCATGGCAAACAGGTTTTGTGTGATTTTTTCATGTCAAACATGTAATTTTCATGTCAAATCAGGTACATAGTTCATAACAATTAATCATATTATTCCAGGTTTCGTATAATTTTTTATGTCAAACAAATATTTATAATTGTTACAATATTCACCATCCGCCCGAGTATAATTTATTTACCAAGTGTACATCTATGAACTCTGCCCCAATCAACTTGACGGCCAGAGATTAATAGAGGTGACCACTCCGCTGACTCAACCACTCGACATCCCATCATGTTGACTCGAAGGATGGAACTTGTTGTCCCCTTTTGTCAAAGACGGCTCGTCGCGAGTCCACTCGACCATTTGACAGGCGATTCGAAAGACGTTGCCTCTCGGCAAAGGCGAAGAACACCCCCTGCCTCGGGCCCATCCCCTTTGGCTATGTGTCAACACCACACTTAACACTGGACAAGTCCTATCAGGACCTTAGTCCCAGTAGCCTTCATGAATTGTCACATTGGCGTAGGCTCTGCCACGCTATTAATCACTCCCCATTCGATGCTAAAGATGATTTCTCTATACCGAAATGATCTTTCCCCTAGTCTCCAGGCGCCACTTATAAAGCAAAAGCTGACTCAACTGTTAGCCCATGTCCTACTATGCCATTGGTTACTTCCCACATAATGCTAAAGTGACCTCTACTCCAGTCGTCAGCCGACACCTGTCAAGAAGGTGCTGACACAACCACCAGCCCATACCTCGCCACTACTTCTTGTAGGTGTAAATTTTGATCTCCCGAAATAGGGATGTCGTTTGTATTGATAAGAATAGCTTATTACAAACTAATAAATCAAAAATTACAACAGAAGTGGAGGGAATGCCCTCCTTGTTTAACGTGGGGACTTTCGGTATCTATAGGACGCCTCGCTCGGATCCCGCACTGAGTCTGCTTCCCTTGGACGATTCGATCGAGGTTGCTGGCGAGCTTCAGTACGCAGTAGGAGCTCGGGTCGGTAGAGTTTGACCCTCCGAGTTTGATGGCGATCAGGGCCTGAAACTAGGAGAGGATGCTACAGTGCAAGGATTATGCAAAGAGCTTGTCATTAACTCAGTCGAGAGTTGAGAGCTAGTGGTTCAGCCGATTGATTGGTTTAATCAATTGACCACGAGCGAATTCAACTGCTGAGCTAAAAAAAAATGCTAATCGAACCGCTGAACCCCTTCTCTGTGGCCGGAAGAAGTTCTTAAATAGAGGAGAGACGACATGGCCACTCATTGAATCATGGGATATGACCATGTACTGTTGAGAGACACCATGCTTTTGGCTTGTACCATGAGCGTCTGGTTGATGGGCTCGGAGCACTGTACTCCTTCCCTTCACATCGTGAGGAGTGGGAAAGCCTATCCTTGTACGTGCTGTTGCGACTACCAGGTACTAGTTCGGCGAGCTTGTTGATCGCGGGCGGATTCAGCTCTTGACTCGTGTAGGCGAGGTGAGCAAAAATGCTAATCGAACCGCTGAACCCCTTCTCTGTGGCCGGAAGAAGTTCTTAAATAGAGGAGAGACGACATGGCCACTCATTGAATCATGGGATATGACCATGTACTGTTGAGAGACACCATGCTTTTGGCTTGTACCATGAGCGTCTGGTTGATGGGCTCGGAGCACTGTACTCCTTCCCTTCACATCGTGAGGAGTGGGAAAGCCTATCCTTGTACGTGCTGTTGCGACTACCAGGTACTAGTTCGGCGAGCTTGTTGATCGCGGGCGGATTCAGCTCTTGACTCGTGTAGGCGAGGTGAGCTTCAAGCGTGAGCATGCAGGCAGACTTAGCGACTGCAT